GCGGCAACCCCATAGCTGGTCAAGCCTTCACTGACGCAAACCCCGCCCCCTGTGGTGGAGGCATCACTGCATGTCACGTGGTCAACAAACGGGCATCGAAAGTCAATCTGCGCCAACGGGGTGAGCAATATGAACATAAGCAACTCACGCTGGACCTCGGTCGGCACCGGCAGCCGGACAACCGGCGGCAACCTCTTCAACCTCTCCATGAACCTCCACACCTCATTCAAGGCAGCCAACAACGGTCTTCGAAAGAGGGCGAAGTACACGAAGCCCCCACAGACAACCTGCAACTCCTTCAACGTGCAACTCGCCCGTGTCACCAGCATCAACGCCAGTTGGCAGTACAACACCACCTTGCCCGGTTTGGGCTGCGCAAACCCCTCCAAGCCGTCGACTATAGCGCCCTGGATTTCGGCGACACCGGCACGCTCGACTGCCTTCTTTGGGTGACGAGGGATTCCTTGGCTGGCGTACTGATCACGCAAACGTTGCACCACATCCGCAACTTGGCCACAAAGGGCTTGAGCCGTGGGGGGGTCGAGCCTTTCCACCAAGTCAAAGTTGTCGAGGTAAACTCTAAACTGGGCCTTTGACCGACTGCTCACTCGATCCTTTCGCATTTCACACTCCCCTCCGAGTCCTCCCGGAGTCTGTTGGCTCCAAGTGACTATGTTTCGGTGGACGTGCTGGGCAATTGACACACTATTAACAAAGCCCATGGGCAACACACAAGAAGTGAGCACGCAAGGCCGATCACGCCATTCCTCCGGCACCAAAGCATCAGGGACATGTTTGTTAAACCCCAGGAACTTCTTCCAAGCAGGTGGCACTTTAAACAAATAAAAGAAACAACGCACATCTTCAGAACTCACCAACGCCACTTCACCATCATCCAAAAGAAAAGTGCCAAAACTGCTAATGTTCGGGAGAGTGACAACGTCTCCCACCAAGGGTTCACACAACTGATTGAGAGGTATTAAATTCATAATAAGACGCTGTGTCTCGACGTCTCCTACGAACTCGCCCTTACCAACTCCGAACATTCCGTTCAGCAAAGGTGCCTGATCGATGTGGAACAGCTCGTCGATCGGGGTGACTTCGCAGATCTTCTTCTCGATGAGTCCCTTGCATATGGCGGGCCAATCATCACCCACCATGACCCGCGGAGCTCGGGGACATGTCATGTGGGAGGTATCCAGCAAATGATCCTCGAAGTGATCTATGTAGTGCAGGGTGCCCTGGGTACAGAAGTCCCTCAACTCAAGACGACCAACCTCATCGGGTAAGGAACCCTGAACCCCAATCCAAGTCAGCGTCTGTGCCACGCGAACCTCTTCCCCGTCGTATGTAACCCCTCTTTTGGCGAAGAAATCCCCGAAGTCAAGGTTGCCCAAAGGTTCCTCCCACACTTTGAACCGTTCACACAGCTTCCCCAAGTTTTCCACAATCCCACAAGGCTCACGCTTCGGTGGCGGTCCGCTACCCAGGCCGCACGCATAGACGTTCAGCCCGTAGATCATATCCGCACTTGCCAGCTTCGATCTAGTCCATGGGTCCAGGGGTAGAGGCAATGGAAAAAAAATCATCTACCACAACATTTGTTTCCTCTACCGTGTTCTGCATGCGCTGCAACCCCATGCTACTGAGTTTGGACCTGGCCGTGGACATGAGCTGCTCAAAGTTGCTGGGTGAAACACTCTGCCCTACAGCTGCCTGCGCAATGTCTCCACTCCCTCCTGCCGGGAGTGCCTTCTCAACAGCAACTGCACTCGTGCCGTGGTCTTCTGCTCCAATGGCCGGCACTTCTTCCCAGAAAGCAACCCGACCTACGCCTAGGCTGCCTTCCTCAACTCCTCCCTCAGCGCGGGAGTCCAGCAATGAATTCGCGTCCTGACATTCGTTACCTCGTAGTGCCGTGGGCTGTTCCGCGTCTGCCAACATGGATCCAGCCGTAGGGACCTCCGGCCCCTTGTGAAACACTTCAAGCCCAATGTTGCCCTCGGTGTGCCTCTCAACACTGTCAATGCCCCTCGGGAGAGTACGCACTTGCTGACTTGTCTCTCCCCTTTTCAACCTCTTCTTCAAGCTCCTCAGTCCCTGTCTGTCTTTTCCTCCTTCTTCTTGCCTTCTCCTTTTCGATAGCCCTTGTCCTTGAACTTGCCCTCGCCCTTGCCTTTGTCTCGCTTCCCTTTCTCTTTTCCTTTGCCACCTTTGTAGGAATCCTTCTCTTCCCATTGCCATCGCCCGGTGTTTCTCTTCAAGATGCGATCTTCTGCCTGGTGCTCTCGCCCTGCCTCTCCTGCCTCGGGAGCGGTCAGCAAGCTTGGACGATCTGCTCCCACCAGCTCCAGTCTTCTGGCTATGTCGATGTTTGTACCTCTGGCCATGGCCTCTAATGCTTTTAGCCGTTGGCTGACAACATCTAGCGCGGCCGCGATGCGGCCACGCAAGCTCAGATCCAGGATGGTGGCGAGGTGCAAGGACTCCCGTGCGAGAGCAACCCCCATGTGTGGTTGCAAGTGCGCACGGAAGTACTGGACCACCACGGGAGCCACTGCTCCCCCCGTGACAGGCTGGTTCACGTAACCTTGGGCGGTCATCATCTGATCTTGCATGTCCAGAATAGCTGCCTGCGTCAACGCTCCTGGCACGCGACGCCACAACCGTAGTGACCTCCGTTCGCTCTCGAAGAGCTCTGAGGTTGCGATCTGCTTCTCTCCCAAGCTTGAACTCTCGCTGGAATCTTCCGTCTCGTCCTTCGAAGAGCCTTTGCTGCGTGAGCGGGAGCTTTTCTTCTTCTTTTTCTTTCCTTTTCGAATGCGACGGGCCTTCCGCATCAACTCGTGCCTCACCTCCATCTCGGGGTCCAAGGCTGTATTCTTGAAGACCTCCTTGACGGGTGCCTCGAGCTGAACCTTCACTCTGGCCTTCCTCTTCTTTCCTTTTTTCGCTGGCTTCTCTTCGACTTTCTCCTCCCTCTTTCCGGGAGGGTTCGCTGCCTCGGGAGAATAAGTGACCTCCCCCTCTCGCTCCCTCTCGACCATCTCCTCGCGCAGTCGAGCCAAAGGATCCTCCTCTCTGACGGCTCCGCCCCTCGAGGAACTTCTTCCAAGTTGCTCCACCACTCCTCCGGGGTGCCTTCTTGTACGTGGTAGCGGAGGCCGTGGATCAGGTCCTTTGCCCATACCAGCCGATCGCACGGGTCTGGGCACACATGAATCCTCAACTCCTTGCAACGACCTCCGACTTCTCTCAACAATGACTCGCTCTGCGTTCCGGTGACCCAGATCCGCCAAGTCGCGTCCCCCTCGTTCACCACAACACCACGCGTCTCCCCTGCTATCAATACGGGAGACTCCCAGTACCGTCCTTCTAGCACGACCTTCTGCTTCAGGTTCAAGGCACTGAATGTAATCTTAATCTTGCTCAATGCAACCCATTCGACCTCCTTCAACTCGGGAGACAAGGGAGCCTCCCCCCGGGCTGGCCTGCGCAACACCTCTCTCATTGGTCTTCGAAGAGCTCCTCCTCGAGGGGCCATGGGCCCGGCAGCTGGCCTCCGTCGAGGAGGCATGCCTCTCAATAGTAGCCTCTTTCGTACTCTCTCCAAAGGCGAAAGTTGGTGCGCTCGTCCTTCTTGCGGCCTTTGTTCGGGGGTGGCTCACGGTAAGCCCACGACTTGGACCGAACGTCTGTATCGGCCCAACTCTGATACCCTGGGGGTGGATGGTCCGGCTCTCTTGGACCTGGAACTGGAGGCGGCTTGGGCGGTGGTGGGATGGCCCGCTTCTGGGCGTTTGTGAGGCCTGATGCACGGGATGGCAGGGGTCCACGGCTGGGGGATGCCCGTGGACTCGCACTTGGAGACCGGGGTGACTTCCGGTCCTTTTTTCGCTCCCCTTTCTCTTTTCGGGAGTATGAAGGGCTTGCCCGGCGCTCTGGTTTTGGACTCTGGGCTGGGCTGGACTTCTTTGTTCTCCTCTCTCTGCGATGACTACGGGAGCGACGCTTGGCTCCCTCCTCGTCGTTGTGTTCTTTGTCTCTCCGACGTCTACGACTTCGGTCTGGGTCTCTGGAGCTTCTCTTTCGTTCCTTCCTGCTCGGGGCGACTTCCTCGGCTGCTGAACCACGCTCTCCTGGCTCCTTGTGCGACGGTCCTGGTTCTTCTTCTCCACGTCGTTCACCACTGGGGCTCTCTTCGTCCTTCTCCTCAGGCACGACCACGGGGGCTGCTCCTTGATCACCTTCTCTCTTGTCCTCCTCTGGTTTGGGCTCTTCCTTGATCACCGGTTTTCCCTTCTGTTCAACGGGAGGTCCGGGAGTGGCAGCTCCCTCTCCTCCCTCAGCGAAGTCCAGGAGCTGTGCGTGCAACACGCGAAGAAGGTCGATCCCTCGCTGCTGCAGCGCTCCTGTGGCCTCCTCGTTGTACAGGAGGCTATACGTGCGTCTAAAGCTCAGACACAAGGCACACGAGCAAGTGAGAAACTCGTGTGCCATGTATCCGCAGAGCCGAGACGCTGCGGGATTCATAAAAACTGGGTGTTCACCTTTAAAAGCGAGGCGCAAGTCATATATATACAGGATTTTTTTTGTCCGTTGCCATTGCAAGCAGGCTTCAACCTGGGCCACCCACGCGGGCGCTGCGCAGCGCTACTTTCAACTCCCCAAAAAGGCGGGAGTTCTGAGGAGCGCGCTGCGTCCCCAAAGAAGTGGAGGCAAGAAATGCAGAGCCAAACCTCTGAAGCGAATTACAATCATCCCAGGATCGAGTCCAAACCCTAAAGATCTCAAAGTCTGCAGGCTTTGAGAAGCTTTGTTGGTCAAAATCCACTCATCCCACGCATCTGGTACAGTCTGGGACTTCCACAAAGCACTGGGCCTGCCACACTTTTGGTTCCACACAGGGCAAAACCAATTCAATTCACATCAATTCACCAGGGTCACAAAACCCCAAAAGAGCGGCTCTTGGCAATTCCTTTCCTCACCAACACAATCCTCTAAAGTGTTTCTTGAGGACGATTTGGGAACACAACTTGTCCAGCCCACGCCTCAAGCTTCACCACATCTGTTCGGGTGCGGCCACGGGGACGAAGGCTCACGATGAAGCCGAAAATTGCCAGAAGGCTGCCCAGCACCTGTCCATGGAGGCCACATGGCAGCATTTTAACATGACCAACGGTTTCTGGAACACACTTGGACGATGCAAGTCAGCAATCCCCACACCATGAAACCGGCTCAAAGAACCGAATGAGGTGTGATGCCACCGCCTCCAGCGGGTTCGCCCAGGAATGGAGCAAAAGCTCATCCAAAAGCAAGGAAATGGGCATTGAGAGGCAGGCCGCCAGTGCTGCTTGTGCTGCGCCCATGAGCACGGTGAAGGACAACCACCCGAAATTCAACATCATGTTGGCCACCGCCATGAACATCGTCGCTGACCAACTCGGAAAGACGGGCCACGGTGATCCGAGAAGTGTGGTCATGGCTAAGACTCCCAACAATGTGAATAGACTCATGACTCCTTCCAACGCCAGCAGCGTTGTAAGTGGGCAATCCATCAGAAGTTCGGCGGTCATGATCGCACAGAGAGAATATTGAACTGTTGCAAAGAGGCATAGGGCGCAACCCCACATCGTGTTTCCTGCGCAAGCAGACCAAAATAGACCCGACCCACACAACACCCGGCGATCTTTGAAAGAAGCGGCGAAATAGGGCGCCCTTTTTTGAGTCCTGCCATTCCCGAGCGCACCGCTAAGAAGGCGCCCAACAAGGTGAGGAAACTGCCCAGCACAGCGGAGGACTTGGGCGGTTTCCACGCCACAAGGGCCTCCAGGACCAAGGCGGCTACGATGTCCAAGTTCCAGACCTCAGGTGGGAAAGCTCCGGATGCATGTGAAGCTCGCAAAACTGCACACCGTGCGCGTTGCCCCCAAAAACCGGTCGCCGTCCCTGGTGCTGAACGTGTCGATGTCGAAAAACCTTCACCCGGGCACCAAAGTGTTGATGGCCGGTGTGGTTCCAGTGAAGGACTTGTACCACATGGCGTGCGTGGCAACGGAGAGCACGGCCAAAAAGAGCGCCAGCAGCCACGTGTGCCCAGTTCGGCTCGGCAGGCGGCACCAGTTCGTCCCATTCTTCACTGGGACCAAGGCCAACCTTCCAACATCAGTACAGTATTACTAAAACATCTAAAACAAATAGTGGGGACGAAAGACCATCGGTTCTTTCAAGGGACAACATACGGCATAGCATGGCATAGCGTATTTATGTGCGGCGATATATTTTCTACATGGGGTGGGGCGGCGGAAATCTGAGAATTCTGAGATCAGCTACAGGCTATAGCTTGGAAGATTGAGTCACTGGAAGTTCAAAGTAACATCACTGGCTATACGGTCTTGAAATGGATGGCAGCACTGATTTCAATGGCTTTCGACGCCGAGGCACAGCGCCCAGGAGCTTTGGACCACCAGGGCGGCACTCAGCGGCGAGCTGGACAAGTAATCTTTAAGCTGAAAGGCTCCGAGCTCCTCGGCATACTGCGGAGACATCCAGCCCACTAACCTGAACTGCGCGTGGTGGAGCAGCAGAGGTGGGGTCCAAGATGCAGAAGGTCTCTTAAGTCCAGAAAAGGACATGAAGCTAGGGGGTGATTTTGGAGCATGCAGCCACACATAAAATTTGATTTGATGTATCGTAGGTATGCTGTTGCTTTGCCAGGTCCATCAGGCAAGCTCGCTTCAGCTAGGTAATGAAGTCAAAGAAATCCCCAAGATCCACTGGGTCAACAACAAATGTCAGCAGGTTCAACATTTGCCTCAAGCCAGGTCCGATGTTCAAGTCGAGCGACAAAACAACCAAACTGGCCGCGGCCAAGGGCGCTGCAGACTGCGCTGCAGACGGCGGTGCCGACGACAGCGGCAGAAGCGGCTTGGAGAACCTCGATGTGCAGATCAAAAGACCGTCTGGCCCAAAAAGTGTCTTTAAGTTCCGTCACAAAATACAGGCAGCTGACGAGAGCGGTTGCAACTCTAAAGTGCATTGCACCAATCCAAGGAACTTCTTCTCCACTTGGCCCCACGACCACATGGCGAGCTTGACCCGTGCTACAGAAAAATGCAACGGACAATGTTTTGGAGGCATTGTTAGCCCATTCTTCTGCAGAATCCCCGGCATTGTTCCTGTCCGAATGTGACACGGTTGCGACATGATACATTCATGACTTGATGACCTGCAAACCCTTGGAGGGCTGCCATACGGCCCTCTCACCCCCTTCGAGCCGAGACAGGGTTCCACGGATGTCGCTTCCGCTCAAAGCCCGAGAGAGAGAGAGGAAAAAACAAACAAAAGAAAACACACAACACACACACTCATGGATATGCGTACTGATGTGAATGCGGTGCCACACGCCGGCCTAGGGTTCCATGTCCTAAGAGTACAGGTACGGAAGCCTAAAAAGGAAGTGGAGGTCCTTCCAGCGGAGGTCTCAAAGGTTTCAGGTGGCCAGCAATTCCAAAAGAAAAGCATCGATCGAGCGGACGACAAGGTGACGACGTACGTGCAGAAAAGCCAAGTTCAATGAGGTTCTTGGCTTAGCCTCACGCCATACGGAAAAATGGAAGATTGCAGGTACGTCGGTGAGCGTCCCCACCGATATCAGTGTTCAATGCAAGCCTCTTCGTTGGGCTGGTACTTGCATGAACAACCAGCCCCCCCTGCTAAACGCTCAAAACAATCCGAAAGGATCCCTATGATTCCAAGGGTTACACACACACGCCTCCCCAAGGGGAGGCAAAATTAAGGCTAGGACGAATGTGCCAATGTGCGCGCAGAAAGGACAAAAGGATGAAGACATGAAAAGGAAGACAGACAGGACAAAAGGGTGTGTGGTTGCAATGAAAGGGAAACCAAGTGCACAGGGACAACCGATGAGCCCACCTCATTGTCGAGACCTGGGCGACCTAACACCTGAGTTGAAAGTAGATGTGCGCGTACACACTAAGGCCCGGACCATTGTACGCGCAAAAGAACGAAAGGAGTGAGATGAACGGACATGAAGCAAGGGAAGACATGAAAAGAAAGAGGAAAAGAAGTGCGTGTGAAGGGGAAAAGGTGAAAGGGGAACCAAATGGAGGGGACGGGAACCGATGAAACCAAACCTCATTACAGCAACCTAGGAAGACCTGCCTCGTTGAAGTGTGTACGATGTATGTGCACCTAAGGCTCCAACAGGTTCCAAAGAACCTTGAACAAGCTTTGGTCGCTGCGACCACGTACGGCTTGCCCGAAGGCTGCCACCTTTGACCGCTGCGGTCACGTGAAGGCATAAGCCAGCTTGGAATTCCAAAAATGAGACATAAATCATCCGACGTACGGCATTAGCCAACTGCTGCCCGCTGTGGGCACGTACGTTTCCAGAGCAAAGGAAACAGGGACGTACACCCGTTCGACGGGTCCACGGGAGGCACTCTGCGGGCTCATCCCGGGTTGGCACGAAGCCAAACACACTCATGGATATGCGTACTGATGTGAATGCGGTGCCACACGCCGGCCTAGGGTTCCATGTCCTAAGAGTACAGGTACGGAAGCCTAAAAAGGAAGTGGAGGTCCTTCCAGCGGAGGTCTCAAAGGTTTCAGGTGGCCAGCAACTCCAAAAGAAAAGCATCGATCGAGCGGACGACAAGGTGACGACGTACGTGCAGAAAAGCCAAGTTTAATGAGGTTCTTGGCTTAGCCTCACGCCATACGGAAAAATGGAAGATTGCAGGTACGTCGGTGAGCGTCCCCACCGATATCAGTGTTCAATGCAAGCCTCTTCGTTGGGCTGGTACTTGCATGAACAACCAGCCCCCCTGCTAAACGCTCAAAACAATCCGAAAGGATCCCTATGATTCCAAGGGTTACACACACACACACGCAAATTCTGGCTTCAGCCAAATGTTCGAAGTGCCCCACACCATAGCAAACCCAGTCGCGGCTTTGGAAGATGGTGCTGCTACTATGCTGGGTTGGTTTTTGCATGAGCCACTTCAAGACACACCGCGGGCATGGCCTGAGCAGCGGAAAGAGCCACAAAAGCTGCCATCCAGGCGCCGGGTTCAGTGGAGAACGTCTTTGCACATGCAATCCATTTCCAGTTTCTTTCGAACTGGGGAATGTATGCAGTATGCAGCAATGTTGGTTCAAGTTTGAAACTGGAAAATGTGTGTTTTCTCATGCTTTCTCTGGAAGAGGATGCTGAATGCATGTGTAAAAGTGGTGCCGCAAGGGCCCGCTATATCCCGCTATACTCCTAATCCTGATCAGTGTCGTGGATGTGTTCACTCAGGCAGAATCTGCCTCCGCCATCCTCTGCTACAAATGTCAGATGTCCATGAAGTGGATTCTGCATCCAACTATGCTGGCGAAGTCTGGCTTGCAGCGAAGAAAAGTTTGACAGCGGCAGTGAGGACGATTTTTCGGTGGAGTGTGGAAACCCACACGAAATCCATACCCTCAGGAGATGCTATTACTCTTGATTTTTTTGGATCTACTGAGCTCCACAAAGGTGGCTCCACCAAACTGTTGGCCTTTCCTTGTGTTTTCTGAGGAGAGCGCGCTGAGGAACAACAAAATTAAATTGTTTCTTCAAACCTTGAATGGCACTGCACCTAAACAACCCAAAAGGGACATTGACACCCTGGCTGAAGGAAGGAAGCAAGCAAGGAAGGAAGAAAGAAGGAAAGAAGCAAAGAAGGAAAGAAGGAAGGAATGAAAGAAAGCAAACAAGCAAACAAGAAAGAAAAAAAGAAAGCAGCGAGCAAGCAAGCAAGAAAGAAGAGGAAGGAAGCAAGAAGGAAGATGTCTTTCTCTCTTTCTATAAGGCCTTTTGACCCTTGTTTGGTCTTTCTTTCTTTCTTTCTTTCTTTCTTACTCCCTTTTAATTAATTGTTTCTTTCTTTTCTTTTCTTTCAAGCGCAAGCGCACCAATGTCTTGACACCGACCTCTCAGAGCACGGACACAGAGCACCGTGAGCACGGACCAAGACACAGAGCACGGACACGGGCGTGGACCGAGACTTCGCGCCGGACCCGTAGGAGCGCGTGCGGACAAAGCGCCCGGCGGTTCTCCACAGTTGGAGAAGTGCCTCAAGCAAACTCTATAATTCTAAAGTTGGAGAAGTGGCAGACCTTAAGAAAACCCATCGTCGTTTTCACCCACAGGGGTTTCAAACACTGACACGCGGCGCCCTACAACCCGTGTTTCGGAGCTGGGCGCCCGGCTCTGAATAAGGATTTTGAGGTCCCTCCACTACCAAAAAAAATAACAGTTTAGGTTGATCACCTTTTGTTTTAATCTATGACTTCTCTACCGCAAGCCTGCTGATTCGCAGCTGGGCGCCCGGGTCCGATTTAGCCAACTGCAGCCTGCGTCAAACTAATCGTTGGAGATTTCAGGGTTTGCTGTCGAGTCTCAGTTCATATTTTGCAGTGTCACTGTGACTTTGTTGTGAAGACACAGTTTTTATGGCTGCGCTTCAGACTTGCTTCGGGTACGCAGCAGCGCTTGGGGAGAGTGAGATGTAAAGGGAGAAAAAGCGATCCCCCATACCAGAAGTAAGTCAGTTCTTCTAGATGAGTTTGTGAGTGGTCATGATGGTGCTGATGGGTATGATGATGATCAGGATGATGTTGATGATTCTGATGACGACCATTATGAGGATGGTTCTTGAAGATGAGGAGGACCAGGGTGTTGCCACGAAGATGTCAGGAATGAAGGAAAGAAAGCAACAAGAAAGGCAACGCAGGAAAGACTTCAATCCTGTTCAGCTCTGTGTACCTGCATGCCTTTTGCAAACACCTGCAAGGACCCCAGTCTGATCAGCTCTGTGTACCTGCAGCTGTGTCAAAAAAACATGCCACCGACCTGATCAGCTCTGTGTACCTGCAGCTGCTTCAAAAACATGCCACCTACCTGATCAGCTCTGTGTACCTGCAACTGTTTCAAGGCATTTTCCATTGACTTGATGAGATTTCTGATTGACACCTGCCACTCCTGATGTTATACCTGGGCGAGCCCTCCTTAGAAAACCCAAGTTTCTGCCACACCTGCCTACCTCCAACTGGACCTCTCCCATCAAAGACTCATTGGGCATGGCGATCCTTATGACTCATGAGTATCCTACTCCCCTCGCCATTGACTAATTCTCTCTGAATTCTTTGATCCCACAATAAACACCTGAATTCCACTTCGAATCAATTCGAACTCGCCAGACTCGACCACTCACGTGAATGATTGAACCCAAACACTATCGCATCCGGCCGCAACCAAACCATGACTGTGACCTCACCCCAAAGGTCTTTTTCACAACACGGCCAGGAGGATCTCTCGAGTGGCTGGGTGTGCGATCTGTGGCCTTGGCGGGTGGCGCTTCGTTTTCTGCTTGGTCCGGAAGTTGGCACAGCCGAAGGCCAAGGCTCACAGATTATCATGGACAATCGGATACACACACAAATAACAATGACAGTAGATTGAGAATGTCTTGTCATTGGCAAATATGGCATGGATTATCATGGAATATCATTGATGTGGATCATGCATCTCAACACGGCAATTGTTGTGGGCAAACTCCAAGGACAAACTCTGTAGGTTGCCGAGCTGCAATTCAGTTGGAACAACATGCCCCCCGGCTTCAGCCAAACCGACCAGTGCCCAATTGACCAACCATTGACTCGGCCACATTTGGGTGGGAACGAACGATAAGATTGAGAAATATCGATTATCCCCTTCTGCGGGTGGGTCAAGACCATACTGGCGTGCTCTAGGTCCAGTGATCACTGCGCATGGGTCTGCCGGCCCTCTTAGCGGAACTTGCAGGGTTGTGTTGTCTATTGTTGTCTGGGCCAGCATGGGTTAGTCTCTGAAAAAATGCTCGCCGTCAAGCCTAGGTTCTGTCTGCCATGCCCCAACCTTTTCCAACCCAAAACAGCTACCCAGCGAGCCACCGGTACGGGTGGTGGGACATCCCTCGGTCGACGCGCCAAGGGACAAAAGAGGCCGGCAGCTTTGAGGCTTGGCACCTGCGGAGCGTTCTCGTGACGCAGCAGCTCCCCCATGTTTTGTTGGCTTGGAAGCAACCATGTGCCATAGCAAAAACGCATATGTGCGAAATGGCCCAAAAAATAAGAAGCGCCCCCCATTTGCTCGCGTTCACATTACCAAGTGGTGAAGGGCAAAGCCTCGAATATTTGGGTGGGCAAAAGAAGTTTTAGGAGGAATTATAAAGAGCCCTCATCGACAATTCAGCAAAACATGTTATAAAATATGTAAGACATATGAGTGCGCATTGTTCTTACGTTCCCGGGATGTTTGGCAATGCGATATGCTTCGGGGGTATGCTTGGGGGTATTCTTAAGCAAAGGTTATGCTTCTGGGTAATGCTTTGCCTACGTCGAACATCCCAACTCTACATAAACCAGACATGTTGCAAAAATACAAACCCTTATGAAAACATTACATTCATAACAATCATAACATGAGCTCAAAATCAACACCAACCGATGGCAAACCCCAACTGGGCAATGCTTGCGGTTGCAGCGCTTCCTTCTGCGAAGCAACCCAGTCGAACCCAGCAGGCTCCGCTTCCACTGCGCCTCGGCGCAGGAGGAAGCGCACCATCTCTGGGGCACCAGCGCTCGCTGCGCGCCTCAGCTCTGCCGACTCTGGAGCCCCTGGGGCGGTCCTGCCTTGGACAAAACCCCAAGCTCCTTTGAGCCATCACCGGCTTTCCCATCAGTCCTTAGATGGGAAAATCTGATGAAAAAATAGGATTTGGGGCTACGAAGCTGAGAAGGATTTTCATGTCCTATCTGGCTGCGGAGGCATTGTCACTCTTCAGCGTTCGACCCACGCTGCAAAGGAGCGCCAGGTCACCCGGGCGCCAGGGCTGTGGCTCCTTGGCCATCCACTGCATTGGCCTCGTTTTACCCACAGCGGCCACGTCGTAGCGTAGATGGATGTAGATTCCCTTTGGCATTGATAGTATCAGAAGCGCATGCGTTCGGGAGGCCGATGGATGCGGAGACTGACAGAATCAACCTGGCCCTAGGAACACCAGCGAGTGCTGTGCTCATGAGAATGCACGACATGTGTCCCAGAACAAATCATTCTTGTGCCCCTTGATCTGCCCTGGTATGCCTTTCATAAGCCCCAACCTTCGAAACAATCAAGGAAACTTCTATCATCCTGCCCCCAGATCTTCACACGTTCCACAACGGCCTCCGCACGTCTCTTCAGCAACTCCGCGGCATCTTTCACCGCAGAGTCGCCACGCGACGCAGCGTAGTGGAGCGCTGGCCTGGAAAAGAAGCGAATCCTTCGGACCCACTGGTCCAATCCACAGGGCTTCCAAAAGCTGTCCTCAAAAGCACTGGGCCAAAAGCTATGTTGTGAGGCAGTTCAACAAGTTGCCAACTCGGAACTTGTTTCCCACTCAGGTCCCAGCCCTCCACTAGTATCTGCTTGATTGGGATCCTCAGCACTCCAATATACCAGGTGCTTTGTGCCATGCGAATCTTTCTGCCACTTACAGTCTTTGTTCCCTTCCAACCATGAGCACCAAGTCACGCAACTTCTCCACATGAACATATCTCATACGTAATATCTCCCAAGGAAAAATAGAAACCGTAGAGAAAAAAAAGTGATTTTAAAAAAACGAGCACTGCCATTGGAAGATCGATCCTCCTAAGGGTCCTAAGGATTCTGCTGCCAATGCATCCAGCAAGCACCGCACCTGGAGACGGCATGGCTCTTGTCAGTGCTCTTCGCACGGCTCCGGTGTCGCCCGCTAGCCATGTGTTCACCCTCATCGAATGGGTTATAACCATGTGTCGTAACACCGGCAGCCCCCAAAGAATCCAAAGATCCTAAACTTGATTTCAAATAACCTCTTTTTCTTAGTTGGCGCCTTCATGCGCCTTCCTTCCCTTCTTTTCGACGTCACATAGGGCTATCGGAGTTCCTCCGCACCGGGCTGTGGGGCATGCGCCCCGGATCCCGAAAGATCTCTGTCTGACGGCTGCTGCAGCTCTCCGTCTCACTCACGCGACTGGTCCAAGCGCCCTGCGCGGGGGCGGCGAACCACATCGACGTGCGGCGCGCCACCGGGCGCGGCGCAGCCCCCGGCGGCGGGGGCGGTGGAGAGGCCAGGTCCAAGAGCTCCAAGCCTAGGCGCTCGTGGCTGCGCAAGACCTGGAGGATGGGCGGCCGTTTTGGAAGATCGTGGAAGAACCCACACCATCGTGAAGATCGTTTTTGGAATACCAAAAGGGTGCCAACAATTTAGACCCTCCCACAGTTTGGCAAACTCCCCCTTTCGGTGGTGTCGTTAAACTTTGAAGTGAAACCAGTGTGCTGTCTGGAGGGTGTTGAACTGGAGGGTGTTAGAAGGAGTAGGACCGAGTAGGACAAATTGTCGAGGTTCTGGGCAGAAACACAAGGAGGAAGTGACAGTCCTCCGCGGATTCATTAATAGGTTGGTAGTCTGTCAGTGTCAGAACTGAACTGAGAGACTGCGCAAACCACCAGCCAGCTCCAGAAAACAAATGATGAAGGCCCAGCTAATGGGACCAACAAACGTACCTGCTCGATGTGGTATCAAACCTTGTTTGCAGCGTCACTGCTATCTGTCATGGTGATGACCGGACCGTCGCTTCACCGAGCTCGCACCCCCAACGCCACACGCGCGAGCCCAGCGCCGGCCTGTAGCGAGGAGGCGGCGTTCTGGGCGCTTTGCTCCAGCCCAGCGCTGATCGCCCGCAAGCGCTGGGTGAAGTCGACCGAATGGTTCACCGCAAGAACCTACAAATTCGCGGGATCGATGAAGGAATATCGATCAACGATCTTGGGCCACAGGGGTGTAAACTAATCAATATACCAGATGCATCATGCTTGTCTGTAATGTTTTTGTCTTCCGATCTGTATGTGGATGCATTTGTATATATATATACTCTCTTGTACTGCTTTGGATGCGCAAATGGATCACAATTACCTGGAATGAAAAAGGCCCATAACTTGAGACGATGGAGGTGGACCAAAGGTAGAGCTAGGAAGATTCTGAAGAGGAGCAAGCAGCACAAGCAGCAAGCACCAGCAGCATAGACTTCCACCACCCCCAAAACCATTTTGCTAAAGCAAGGAGAACTTAGGTAGCTGAGGCTACCTTTGGTGATCTGACACCAATTAGGCCATTCCCCGTCACCTTGGGTCGAGAGGTCCTAAGCACGAGTCCAATTCAAATGCAAAGCAGAAAACAGATACACCAACCAAAACACAGCTGGGAACTCAGCACGGAACAAGTGCATGTCACTCACCGTTACACGCGCGGAACCAAGTGCAGCACGGCCGCCGGCACTCAAGTGGGGGGAATGGAAACGAATGACAGCGCAAGACTCCCTGTGCCCTGCTCATGTTCAATCAGTGTTTCTTCTGGCGGAGAGAGATAGAGCTTCGGTGAATGGACTTCACAGTGCCACGCACTCCTTTCTTTCTCTTTCACTCCTTCTGTGTGTTCGACCTTCAACTACCTTCTGTCTCACTTTCGCCAATTTGCGCCGGGCGCCGACTTGGCGTGTCTGGCGGATTCTGTGAGGTGTAGGAAGGTCAGCTGCTAGAAGGTAGGCGTTGATGCGCATGATAGTTTGCCTCAATTTAGATCCGCACAATCCGCTGCTAAGTTAAGAGCGTGCAAGGAAACACGGAGGTGCAGTAAACGGATTCGATGTCGTTTTTCGCGTGTGCAACACTTTCCAGTGAAGGTTTGTCGAAATCATAACTCTCATTTCAGGCAAATCATATGCTCATGGCCTTTTTTCCACCCCCAACCACTGATCCTTCCACTTCCACTGTCTGCTTGGGATCGTGATCTCTTTACTCTCCCTCTTTAGTGCAAGCTGCTGGGAGTATGTGCTGCTTTGGAGGAGAACGCACTAAATGCACTCTTCGGCAAATTCCCTGGATGTTTTGGGTGTAGTGAACCGCAAAGACTGTCCAGGGCACGAGAACCTCAAAGCTTGAAGGAAGATGCAAATCCATCATGGAGGATTTGGGGCATCCACTCACCGGCTTCAATCCGAGGCCATGCAGCGAAAAGCAACGGAAGAGATTGTCGACATGGAGATTTCAGGGCGGTCTTTTCCTGGCATGGTTTTAGAAGGTGTGCACTTGAAGATCGCAAATGCCTCTCTGCCTTTGATGGCAGCAGCTTCCTCACATGATTGCGCCTGCCTATCTTCTGAGTGCTCTTGAGCAAAGGTCCGTCTTCTACATAATCGTTTGGGTGAGTTTTCATTGGCAGTTTTGAAGAGGTGTATATAATATCGTCGTCAATAAATTTAGCGGCAATCGCGCGAAGCGGGAGGATGTGGGACAGAATCGAACTGTGAAGCCAAGACACTAAGCTCAGAGCAACCTCAGCCACTTGACCAAAGTCCCAAGCAAGTTGCAAGCAAAGGTTGCACTGCAGCACTTCAACGAGGAAAAACACCGTCATGACTGCGGAGGTTCCCAAAGAAATTGATGGATGGCAGCCTGCTTGTATGGCAGCCTGTGTGGCGAAGACGTAGGAGGTGCAACCAATTGAAGTATAGTAAAGGTAGAAGCTCAGCCTGACAAATCCAAATCCGCTGATTTCGCCAAGCCCCGCCAGCGTATAATCATACGGCAACGGACGGAGCATCGCCCATGCTGGACCCGCATTGCAAAATACACACAATGCCAAATCGGATTGAAATGGTGTACATGCTCCACGCCTTACAAACATCAAAGCTATCCACGGCACGCAGAACAAAACTCCGTCAAAAAGCATGAAGCTTATCTCCTGAGTCAAGTAGAATGTGATACAAGTAAGCATCAAAAAAATCCAATTGTTGACACCGGTGAGCCAGCAGAATGTGCGAGCAGAACGTCCTGCCACTGGACTTTGCAATGGATCAGAGCTGGCACCTTCGAGCATCCCGGTCGACACGGCCTTGACGCGATGTGTGAAGTCCCTCGTGAAGGCATAGCACATGCAGCACTGAAAGCCCAAAATATGCAATAACCTGAACGTGACCGGTCGCGCACCATGCAGGTCAAAATCATGCCACAAGTACGCCACGGTGTAAGCCAGCAACAGAACGAGAGCCACCGGGTGCACATTGCAGTGGCATAGAGTCGGGAAGGCTTGTCCCAGAAAGCCGACGACAAAAGTGCTGCGATCAAACCACAACTCATGAGGCTCGACCTGCAAATAGTCCCAACAGCCATAACTGATCAAAGACCCAAAGCAGAGCAGCAAACTGCTTTGAAGTGTGTCTCGGAGTTTGGTGAGTGAAGAATAGACCACTCGGGCAAACATCAAGAGTGCCAGAACTAAAAGGCTCGCTGGAAACCTGTCTGGACCTTGTCTAAGTTGAACACTCTCCATGTAAATGCCGGTGCACCATGGCACGACATGAAATAGGATCCACAGGCACCGAAACCAGCCGCCGGTGCTTCGCCGGAGCCAGGGGCTGTTGAGCAGCACGTCGTCCGTGGTCTCCATCCACCATGCCCTCGCGGCTCGGCCCATGGACCGGAGGTGGCTGAAACATCCAGCCTCACTGGCCTCGCTGGTCTCCCAATCAAACGGGATACCAGCCTCCGGCATGGCAAAACGGCGTGGCAAGGCCGGCAAGGGAACGGGCAGTTGCTCGTGATGGTCGCGCAAGCCGCAAGCCTGCTCCAGGAGGTGTGAATCAATCCAGCTGCATTATATAGATGGCACAGGTGTCCTGTCCTAAAATGGAGCTCCAAGTGTCGCCAAAAAAGCATGCCTGCCATGAACAAATCACTCCAAAGGTTGGCCGCGGTTGGCCCAAGACAAAATCTCAAACTGGACTCGAAGGGTATCCCAAACACTGGGTGCTGTCCACAACAAATACTCAGTATTGATTGCACTACCTTTATTTTACCTTTTAGTGATTACCTTTTTCTTACCTTTTGTCCAGCTCTTTAATTCATTCCAGTCCCCACCAAGAACACCACCAAAAAACAACACAACAATATTGACTCAATACTGCAAACATCTGCAAACTGATAGACATGGACATGGCCACCAACTCCACCTGATGATTTTGGCTGGGGGGGAATGAGGCCCTCACCCCGTGCACGGTTGCGCGCAGTCGCCCCCTGAGGCTCCCACCACTGTGAAGGCCCCAGCCCGCAGAGCGCACATGAGCGGAGTCCTCAGTGCAAAGACTCGGCAGTCTCCGGTGAAGAGACGTGGATCCCAAGCGACGCCGATGAATGTCCCGTCTTTGACGTACTTCTTTTCGGGGGGACCACCGCCGATCCCAGTAGCAAGAAGCTACTAGGTGGTTCCCCCGAAAAAGCGGGAAAAAAAAGTACGTCAAAAGACGGGATCGGCTTAAGATTGGCTAAGTGCCGCTACTTGGGTGGGCGAAGCTACATAAGCTAGTCCCGCTGACAGCATCAGAGATGCCGATGTTTGCTACTGCTTTCTGAACGTCCAGTTCTGAGCAGCTTCTTGTCCACGGCCTTTTTTGGAAGATTCTCTCGGCCACCGAGCCGGCCCTCCAAAGACCTTGGCCATCGCGGGGGTCGCTGGCTGCGATCATCTGACCGTCTGACGTTCCGTTCCTTCAGCACTTTTGGGGAAGAGAATGAACAAAGCCTAAAGATCGGGACTAGCTGGCAGCTGGCACTTCCATCATCATCTTCTTTGTGGCTTGCGTGCCCATAGAATCTGCGACTAAGTGCCCTGGCTCAGGGTGGTCCAGCTGGGCCTGGAAGTGGATCAGTAGTCGACATGTCTCAGCGTCATCCACCGAGGCAGCAAAATGAAGAGCTGTCCTTGGGCCGCTGGAGGCCAAAGGGCTCGCCTGTTGCTGGGGCCCAAAATGCCCCAAGAGGATCAAGAGGCCATCAAATCCCTCGCATGTCTTCAGCCAACATCTGGCCGCAATCCGCATGTTGGCCTAGAAACCAAACACAGTGGCCCCATTCTTGGGAAGGCATGCGCTTTGACCAGCACCTTTGGGGACACTCCGGTCTGCAGCCCCCCCTCAGGCCCTAACTCGCCGTGGTTGTTCAGCAAGCTAGCAGCTGGCGGAGCATCGTGGTCCCAACCTGAGAAGAAAGCTGCGAGGAGTCCACATGCCCACAGGTGATGTTAGTCGGGTCAATGGCTGGAGGATGTTAATCATCCCCAAAATGCTAACAGGTGTTGACCCATCCGCGTATACAACCGGATTGATACATCGCGGGATTGTACGGGGGTGTTCACTCATCAAACTGGGGCTCATCCCGTCTTATATGCAATACTTTTGTATCTCGGCTATGACAATAATGAACAGGGAGGCTAGCATCGACATTTACAACTAGAAGTACTTGCCAAGCTGCTACGTCGTAGACTGCTATATAAATTTTAATAGGCACCAAAAGTAACTACAGTCTCATAGTCTAGCAAGCTTACCTGTGCAACTAGACTCTGGATCTGCCTTTTTATGCCTCTCTGAGGCTCCAGCTCTCCATAGCTTCCAAACATAGCTTCAGTGTGTCCAAACGCCGTTCCAAGAATCCACCTTGAAGCAATGACGACCCGCAGTCCGATGGATAGGGCGAGTGGCATTCTCGAAGCGCATAACATGAAACAAAGTTAAGAAAGTTTCATATTCGGAATAAATATATAGATGTGTTTTGAAAAATGGATTCTTCATGTATATTCATGCTATGTGCTACGTAAAATCAATTTGATGGCTACGGACCCTACAGCATAAATGCGCCGAGACCAGCAGTTGCCGAATTCCAGTTTGCAGGCCGACAAGTGCAAACTGGAAGAATGATAAGCGACTCACGACTCAGGCAAAAGAAACAGAAGAAGCTGGGCCGGGCCCGGCTTCCATGTGCACATATTACTCATGATTAGAATGGGCAAGACATGTTACTCATAGTTTCCATGGGCAAGACATATATCATAGATGCCCCTCACGATTTCATATTACTTCTGCCCTCCAGGGCTCTGGCTGTCCGGCACCGCCTCCCAGGCTGATCATTCAAGCGGTCATCGAAAATATCAATACATGAGATCAGCCAGCCGAGAGGCCGGAAACCACTGAACGAGTGAGGTGGGATATGTTCCTTGGTGTGTCTGGGTGGAATTTTGCACGAATCGACGAATCAGCTTTGTCAACCACCTTCCATACCCCCGGCCCTATTCCACCCCGGTGCGTCGGACGATGTCGGACGGCATCTCTGCCTCATGTCGGACCTGCGACCACCAGGAGCTCCGTTGCAGCAGGGCACGCAGCCCAGGCGCCTCGATGGGCGCCAGGCCGGCCCGATAGGCGGGCTGCGGGGGATGTTCTTATGAAGGGGGGAGTATTATTGTTGAAAGAAATGTCCTTCGACTCCATGGCGCCACCCCCCCGAGAACAATAACTAACCCCCCCCCCCCAATCATCATTGTCTGCACAGGTCCGGGTCTGAGAAGAACTGGGGGGGGGTTTTATTGTTCCCTGAAAATGGGGGGGAATTGGACCACTTGGCGGGCGACCATGTAGGCGGCAATCGTCTCGGCCGCTGCGGCCCACCGGCGGTGCCACTTGCTAGTGGCCCAGATCCAGCTGAGGGCATCATGGCCATGTGCAAGCTTGCTTTTGGAACTGCCACCTTTGGTGGCAGTTCTTTGAAGCCAGCCCTTTCGGTAGATCGTCCAGTTATGTAGAAGAAAGAGTGGGGGGGCGGGTTTGTTCTCTCAGGTAAGGGTCTGAGAATAATTTGCGGAGTGTTGTTATCTCAATGAGGGGTGGAAATAAGAAGAATGGGAGGGTTGTTGTCTCAATCGGGGGCGGTGGGGGGATTACTAGAACAATGGGTGGGCGGGTTTTATCTCAATTTGGGGGTGAATATCAGAAGAAGAGGGGGGTCCATTGTCTCAAGGGGGGGCGCAATATTAGAAGAATGGGGGAGGGTTGCACAGCAGCCCGCCCCTGCGCCTGCCAGGAGTCCACTTTAGAGATCGGGTACTGGCCAGGAAGCTGGATATGGATCCGGTTAGACTGAGTGGTACTGGGCTGGGCCCCCCGGTGACGTAGACAACCAGGCGCGGAAGAGAAGTAACCAGAGAGGGAAGCAGGGTATGATTGTATGTGTCTTTGGGAGGATTCCATCTCTCCCCCAACCCCCCCAGAACCACGAAATCTGCACAGCTGCCTTGGTTTCGGTGTCGCGTTTCTGGTCAAACTGAGTGGGTACTAGGCTGACTGGCCCCCCTGCGCAGAGAAGACCCAGAAAGGCGGGGAGGGGTAGGATTCTCTGCGTCTTTTGGAAAAGGTAGAATTCTGAGAAGAGGGCGTGTAAAGTCCAAACCAAGAGCGCGGGACAGGGTGGTGCAGGAACCAAAAAAGTGCCAAGAGAAGGTGACGTAGACGACCAGGCACGGAAGAGAAGCAACCAGAAAGGGAAACAGGTATGAGTGTATGTCAGTATGTGTCTTTCGGAGGATTCGAGTTCTGATCGCCGAAAGGGGGCCGCCCCCCCCACCCGCCACCACAAATCTGCACAGCATCCGCCCCTGCGCCTACCACGGATCGACTTTAGAGATGGAGGGGCACGGGCCACGAAGCTGGATTTGGCTCCGCTGTCAATTTTCTGGTTAGAATGAGTGGGTACTACGGCGCGCCCCCCCTGCAGGGGCCAGAAAGGGAAAAGGGGTATGATTTGTGTGCGTCTTTGGGAGGGTTCGAATTCTGATCCCCCCAACCCCCCCCCAGCGGTACGAAATCTGCACAGCATCCCGCCCCTGCGCCTGCCACGAACCTACTTGAGAGATGGAGGGGCGCTGGCCAGGAAGCTGGATTTGGTTCGGGTGTCAGCTGTCTACATATAAGGAGGGCGCCTGCAACGAATCAACTTTAGAGGTGGGCGGGCAATGGCCAGGGAGTTGGATTGGGATCCGGTGTGAGTTTTCTTAGAATGAGTGAGTACTACAGCGCGCCCCCACCCTGCAGGGGGGAAGGATATGAATACGAATCTACATTAGAGAGGCAACGAAGCCGGCTTTTGTTCCGCTGCGTGCCTGTAGCATTACGTGGCTGGAGACGGAGCCGGTTCACAGCCAGGGGCGCCGACGAAAGGTAACCAGAAAGTGAAAAGGGGTATGATTGTATGTGTCTTTGGGGGGATTCGAATTCTGATTGCCCTGGGGGGCGCTCTGCCCCCCCCCCGGCGCCACGAAATCTGCACAGCATCCTGCCCCTGCGCCTGCCACAATTCTACTTGAGAGCTGGATTTGGCCATTGAACGCTTTCTGGTTAGGCTGACTAGGTACTAGGCTTGGGCCCCCCCGCCTACTACGTTGGGCCCTCCCCAGCAACGTTTACACGAATCCCACTTCATAATGACACCCGGACCCCGCACCCGTGCACAGCGGCGCAAGCTTGGATTTCTACCGCACAGCGACCCGTCACAGTGCTTGCGTCGCTTGCAACACTGCGGTGTTGCGAGCTGCAACGACAGCATCGTCGAGATCTTCCCAAACGATTTCGGCTTGACTCTTCTTCCGCGCTTGTCGGATGGAGGCCTCACTGACGGTGTAAAAAGGCGTCTCCAAGGTGAGGAACGAAATCCTCATAGTATCCCTGTCTG